GCTGGGTTCACTAGTAAATGCTGGCCAATCACTGATTCACATTTTAGTGGTAGAACTTTTGTTTTACAGGAGCGACATGGTAAATTTTTTTCTTTCACATTCTTACTTCTTATGGATGTAGATACATATTGTTTAACTCTATCCTGCAGTCTTTGTGAAGTGTGACCTACAGCTAACAACATTGGAATTGTCAGAATTCTCCCCCCACAGGAACAGGAGGAAATGATACAGAGCCCGATAAGCTGTGAAAGGTTTCAGGATGTGGAAATGGAGAGTAGCTTCCTCGACTGACTACCAATATAAAATATCTGGAGAATCGTGGAAAGCCCCCCAAATAAGTATCTGTTAACAGATGAGACTCAGTACAAGATGGAGGAATGGGAATCCCCACCATGGTTAAGTCCCTGTTGAGCCACCAAGCAAGGTCGGCCCTGATCCAAGGTAGAAGGGTAATGGAATGGTCCAAGGGGTCTATGAGGAAGTTTCACTGGGCGAGAAGCATCTAATGAAGGGAATGTACGTGTACCCAACCTACAGAAATGACTGCTTCCAAGGAAGCCCACAACCCCAAAAGACAGAGAACCTCTCACGCAGAAAGAGAATGAGCAGGTAGGGCCTTTATGACTGCCCACTTGATATCCCAAAGCCAAAGTGGAGAAGGCTGGGCTCAACTGAGAGAGGAAGTGAACTCCCAAATGAATAAGATACTGTGAGGGGTAGTAAAAGACTTCTCCAACTTGATAATAAGCCCTACCCAAGCATCTTCTTGAAGAAGTGAACGAGTGTGAGTGCCTGACTGGGCAGCGAGAGAGATGAGTAGAAGCCACTCGTCCATGTAATAGGAATTCCAAAGACCCCAGTGAGTGAAGATGACATGCAAGAGAGTATATCATTCTATCAAACACATATGGAGCTGAAGAAAGATCGAACAGCAGCACTCAGAACTGGAAGATAGACCCCTCTTGGACAAACCAAAGAAAATGACATGACACTGGGGCAAAAAACCCACCTAAATGAGAAGTAGGACTTCCAAGTGAAGCGAGGTGTCTCCAGACAAGAATACAGCTAGGAAAGAGCTATGATGGGACTCCAATCTCCTGTGAGTTTTGGAGATTAGGTCCATCCACACAAGCTCACATAAAGTCACTGAACATCAGGTATACCTACAGAAAGTGAGAAATACACACTGATAAACTTACCACAGATCTCCTGGGAAAAGAACAATACCTATCCCAGCAGATTACATGGAGGTACAGTAACAGGTGGAAAGTGCTGTAGGAAGACAATTTCCACACAGTAGTTATATCCCTCTTAATATCGTAACATGAAAGAAAAAAATCGTCAGCCAAATGTAAGACATGAACTCCTCATGAACTAAAGCCTGTGCTTCCCAAGCATACATTGTTGACCCTGAGACCTGGGGACTAGTATTCTACTTATTGTGGGAATTTTATCATCCAACATATTAAATCTTGAATTCATAGAAACAAAATATAATTCAGAAACAGAAACATTTCTAAAACAAACAAGGAGAAACAATGGAAATCAAACACAAGAAATTGAAACTGGAAGTTGAAATTGATATAAATTTGTGATCAAGCACAATCAAAATCTTGTAATCACATGGGGAATAAGTTAAAACACTTGTCTATAAAGTAGAATGCAATCGAGAAAGTGAGGATTGTGCTGCAAAGGTAGAGGGAGCTACCTGCACTAGTATAGGTGGTACAGTGTGATTGGTGGAGGGTAGTCACATGATTAGCATGTTGCTGTAATGGTGCAAAATGAAGGAGTATAAAAGACTGGTGCAATGTTTAAAAAATTTTAGCAATGCTTAGAGGTCAAATCAAGGTTGAGATAGCTTTGGGTGAAAGGAGGTAGTACCATTTCAGAAGGATGGCACTTTATTAATATATATATAGTATGGATATTTACATACCTCAACTCGGCCGTCAGTCTCTATGGGCCCAATAACAGTTGCAGGAAAAGGGTAAATTAGATATATATCACAGGTGTGTGTGGAGTGCTCACTTTAGCTCTAGGGCCCAACTCCAACTGTAGGAGGGGGTACATTATGTATTATGAATATTTATGCACATCTTCACTCTAATGTCAGACTCTACAGGACTTACACCAGTTGCAGGAGGAGGGCAAATTTGTTATGTAGTAAGGGCCAGTACTGAAAGTGGTCATCTCAACTACTCAACTGACAGTTGCTACTGGAGGAGGACATGCGAGATGTATATTTTGCATAGTGAGTGAAAATATTTTAAGAATAGACTATCTGCAGGAGGAGGACAATCAATTATGCAGCATTGGTACATATGTAATTCATGTACACCTCAACTCTACTGAACATTCAGGCTGCAGGAGGTATACACGTGTGGCATAAGTGATGCATCAGAGTTATATGTGGGATGACCCACACAAACTGTGTCACCCCTGTCCCACTTTGGTTAGGTTCCAATTGGTGAGGATTCTCCAGGGTCCACCACCCCAGCAACTAGGAACTAGTAAGTGGCAAGAGTTTCCCATATACCACTCACCGTGGGAGGGAGAGAATTCACATTGGCGAGACCTGGAGAGGGTGTCTAGATCCCCATCAGTCCTTCAGTCTAGAAAGATCATTTATTAGAGACAGTACAATGGGTAACCGTGAAATCCTATTTTGAAAATCGAACAAGCACGAGCCAGAGAAGTGGGTAGAAACACCTCCCTGGTGCTGGCTTTTTCCATGATATTTCATGGAGTAGGTAAAGTATGGATGGGACAACAAATTGAATATATATATATATATGCACACAAACACACATATCACATTTATCCATAATAAATGGGAATAAGTCAGGAATAATAAAAGTGAGTAGCATGTTCAAATGTGTAGGGAGTTATTAGGAAATAAGTGCATATGTCCTTGGCTGTGAAACAAAGAGGGAATGCAATGCTAAGGAAAATACCCCATCTGTACACATACTTTGTAATTATGTATAAACTAAGCATTAGTTGTACAAAATTAAGATTATTTTGTATACAGACCTAGGGTTTTTAAGCATTGCAGACATTAAAACAGAATCATGGCACTAATTAGTGGATCATCAGTTATGTTATGAGTGGTAATAGTATCAGCAGCTGATGCTAAAATACACATACTAACATAGAGAGAACAGCAACAGTCTAACAATACAAAGAAAGAAAATATATTTATTGACATCTGCTTATTTTTTGCCACAATTACTCTAAAAGTGATTTAACTCTAAACTTTAACTAGTTGAAATAATGCAACAGTGAAGAAGTATATGAAAAAGTCAACTTATTCTTATTCATCCACTGTTGCTATATACGAGTTGATGAGCAGAATTTTTGAGACCTGATCTAATTTTATTATTGTATCCATTTCCCATTTTCATGCACCCAATGAATGCAATATAAGTTGTTTTTTCCCATCTTATTTGCTTACTTTGAGTCCAAGGTGCAAATTTTTGTTTTAACAACCACTGCTAAGATAAAAGTGAATTCCCCAAGTTTTGCAAGAGTATTGCAGGATACATTTATTTTTGTTCATATGAACTAAGCAATACAATATTTCAGTAAAGAAATTAGAAAGTTTAAAGCCTATATATATATTTTACTTTAAAACAGTTTTAGTAATTAAGAAATGATTGGCGATTAGACTGATGTTTACTCAGTGGAAGTAACAGTGAATGTTAGCAAGATATTAGCAAAGTAGTTATCTTTTATTTTACTTTCATCCAATCATACACTTAGTTTAGTTGCAATAATATTGAAAACATTTGCAAATAAAAATCACCCATACCTGCTTTATTGTGATGTATCAGAGGAAAACCTTGAAGGAAGTTCTTAATCAACATACTTTTATTACAGTACTACTTCAAAATGTGAATATTCACATAAGTAAACAAAATATAAAAAGTTTTTAAATTTAATGGATGCAAAACAGCTTTTTCGTTATGACCCTTAAAACAGAGAAAATAATTGTATATAACTATAATTACCAGAATTGCTATGTAGATTTTCTTACAAACACCACATAAAGCCAAAGTTCTGATTTTATTCTGATGTCTTACTGTCTTCCATTTGAGATATGTAAACATATGCTACCCTTATTGCATCAAATTTCATCTGTTTTGAAAGCAACAAAAGACATCAATAAATATCAGTCTTGCTAATAACCGTCCATAACTCTTCATAGGTGCCCTTTAGTTGATATTAGCCTCACCTCAGTAGTATTCGTGGGCATTTGAAATTCACCTATACTAGTGCTATACTGCAGTGCTACAAAGTATAAGTAGCCATGGACACCCATAGATGGTCATGGACAGATATTAGTAGGTCCCACAAATACTTAGGTGGCAAGCCAATATTACAAAATATTTTACTTTTAGTTTTAGGGTTAGATCAATGTAATGTGGTGCAACCATTGGCCATGCTAAATTTGATTTGATAGACTGTTGTTGTTAACTCTGTCAGTGTCACTGGTATGAACATACCTATAATTTAGTTTAAATAAAAAGTTATGCTAAAAACTAAAGTTGTAATGACGAATTCGCCCTTTTCAATTTCAAATTTAAGTTTTCTGTTTTCGCAACAACCTAATTGAATTCAAATTTCAACTTGTAAACTACATGTCACACTTAATTACAAAGTTAATTTTAAGTTATCTATGACAAATACCTTTTGGAAATACACAAATGTATACATGATTTCCCCATCCAGCATCAGGAGGATAAAATCTTCCTTCCACAAGTCGTACCCCACGCAAAGCACCAGAATCCGGATTACGGTATTTTAATCCTGAAGCCCCTGGATATTGAGCAGACAACGTAGATAAAAGTAGAGTTCCATCTTCTTCACACGGTAACTCAATAGATTCGTCATTTTCATCTTCAGAGACCAATATATAACTCATGGTTTTATCTAACCAGTTAAGTATCTACTAGACTATCAGAAACAATAATGCCTGAGGTGTTACGTTACACTCAGAATATGGCTACCACTTCATTAATAATAAAAGCACCCCTCGGCAATCCCTAAGTGCGGCTGAAAGTTCCAAAACCTTCACGTTCCTTATTACTTCAACAAAATTGAAACGCAAAAACAGGAAATATATTTTAAAGTGTATAAATAAATAATAAAATAGTGTTTACTTAAAACGATTATTTGTGGCACTTTATTTTCAATTAAATGATATTCATGCACAGGATATTTAAAAGTTAATAATATTTTTTTAGGAAAAATAGTGCGGACATACGCTGTCTGATATTAGCCTATTTGAAATTATTTACTCCAAATGACCTTTATGGTAGATTTTCTCGCCGAAATTATTGCATGTAATTTTCGTATAATTCGACACAAATACGTTTAACATTGTTCACGTACAAAAGAGCCTTCTACATACTTGAAAACAAAACATTTAATTAGACATATATTTTGGATTCTACCATACAACATGACATTTAAAGGGGCGGGTGGAAGCCTACGGAAAATGACTGAACAATTGAAAGGTGTTTCATCACCCCCTATTCACAGTACTTGAATCTTATTTATTTAACGATTACCGATCCCAAAAGTACGCATGAATTACAAGTGAGCATCTCTCGACATTTCTTATAATGCCTTAAATGGAGAACACTTTGCTCAATCTTGCACCTGCCCCTTTAAGGACAAGGGGCCTGTTGGTCCTGTAATATATCTCTGGTAGTCCATCGCTTATGATGATGACATGTCATATGCTTACATCCTATCTCTTGGGTCTGTGAGTGCATAAGTAGCTGGAGAGACCCATTCTTGATGTATACAGTTTAAAAAATGACATTTTACACAAGAAGAAGTAATTTAAACCAAGTTGCTGAAGAGGTAAAAAGCATGGGAGAATTGCCAGGTCTATGAGAATTCCTCTCATGGACATAGAATTTTAACAATGTTACAAAGATCCATGCTTCAATCTACTTGCAGCAACAGATTCTGGAAGATTATCCAATACCTGGTACAGCCAAGTCAGACTTGCCAGGTTGAAAACATAACCATCTTTTTTATGAAGTATTCTCCACTTAAAAGGAACATTTCCCATAGGAAAGTGCAAAAGTAAAAAAATCTAGAAAAACGAAGATTTGGTATTAGTGAGAATTCAAAATGAAATCAACAACTGTTATAGTTAAATACAGCCCCTTCCTCCTCCCACATGGTGGTCCAGTGGTAAATCTGGGGACTTGTAATCCTAAACAAGAAAAACATTACCATCTATTTTTATACAGTATGCTCTACTTTAAATGAACATTTCCCATAGTAAAGTGCATGTGACACCTTAGTTGAATGACCCCGTTCAGTAAGAGAGTTATCTGTATGTTAAGCTGTACGTATGTCTATTTGCAAAGATGCAAAATCATCCTGTCTCATGGAGGGACAGCAGTAAGTTTATGGAATTACAAATTTTAGAAATAGGGGTAAAGGGTATAGAATGGATTACTTTATAACTTCTCAAGATTGTGGTGTGATGTTGTTTGTGAAATAATGTATATTTAGAAATATGAGTTAACTGGCAACAATGTCTGCTGAAGGATCATGAAAAGCAGCAGAATACAACAATAGAACGTGTGTAAACTTGGGATATATCTTCTTACAACTGTTTGAATTTTGTGGTTGCAGGTTTTAGCAAAAGTCCACTTGTTGAAAAAGGAAATACAAGTAAACTGTGTAAAAATAAAATGTACAAAAATAAATAGTCTAGAAAAAGTCTCTCTAGTTTATCTGTCTTGGTTGATCACAGATGGCATTGATCAGAGCTGGAGCTGATCTACTCTGATCAGTGAATGCCTGGAAGTTTTGTAGAGACCACCCTTTTCAGTCTTGAACTCACAAGACTAAATACCACAGTGACAATCTTCAACTATCTATACTTTTTGTACACTGAGATTAAACCTGATTGGTCACTCAGGGTACAGGAGTTTCTGGTGATTCTCCTTCATGAGTTTATGGCAGTAATGAAAGGGAAGTCATGGACTTTCACAGCATCGATAAAAGTCCTAAAAGCTATCCCTCTTTTGCCTGGTTACGAAACTTTCAACTCATGGAAATGGCATTTTCTTAAACATAAATCTTTAACTCAATCAGAAAAGAGCTAAAAAAATACAAGTAGATACACTCATCAGGAGAAAATCAACCACTCTACAAAAACAAGTCCTGTGGTCATGGCACCAAATTTTCTCCTTCTTGCCCACTCTGTTCTTTTCTCAGGGTCACCGATTGCCCATCAAGTAATTGGATAGAAACCACAGAATAATGAAAGGCTCTATAGAAAATGCACTGTGGAACAAAACACCTGAAATCTCTTAACTTTGTCCGAGTTTGATGCAAAGAAAAGGGTTTGACAAAAGTTACACACAGTAAAAAATATTTATTTTGACACAAACACTATCAAATATAAAAAGACATGTTTGTTGTGTGACATCCTTACTGGAGAGTTATCTGTATGTTAAGCTTTATATATATCCGTTTATGAATAATCAAAATCACCCTATGCCATGGTGGGACAGCAGTACGTTTATGGACTTGCAATGCTAAAATCCGAGATTCAATTCCATGCAGTGGACGCAACAAATAGCCTAGTGTGGCTTCGCTATAAAACAAAGAAGCAAAGCTACCCTATCTACTTGTATATCTTAATCAAATCAATTAGGTACCAGACTGAGAAAACATAGCATTACATACTGAAAACAATATTGCCATTTTTTCTCAGGATGTACACACCACTCAAGTAACTGATGGCACTCTCACTCAAAAAAATAAATTATTTTATATCCTTAAAGAATCATCTGACTTGCCATTTGTTTTTATACAGTACGTTCTACTTTAAAGAAACATTTCCCAAAGGAAAGTGCATGTTACGCCTTAGTCGAATGACCCAGTTCAGTAAGTGACTAGAGCTAGAGGAATTTAGTAGCTCTCTGACTAATACTTTATATTAAGCATAGGTACACAATATGTAAATAATTTTTAATTTAAAGATATGGTGATAGAAAACCCCTAACATGTCTGCATACCACAATTCTTCACACTGCCAAGAGAATTGACTGAACAAAAGAGAACCAGAGATTAATAGGAATCAACTGATATTTGGTTAATCAACATAAAAATCAAAAGATTGTAACAGGAAAGACAGAATTAAAGGAACAGAGTTCAACAACTTGAGTAATGGCAAAGAATGGCTCATAAAGATATAGAAAAGTGCAGATTGTTTGTTTGTAATTAAGTACAAGGCTAACTGGGTAGAGCACAGTTAGGAGTATTGAAACCCGGATTCTAGCATTGTAAGTCCGCAGACATACCACCGGGGGCAGAAAAGTGCAAAAAGGGAGTTTATCGATAGACAAAAAAAATCTAGATGGAAAAAATCCCGATTTTAAAGATGGGAAATAATATTCTCGAAATTGCAGAAGTGAAGTCTTAGTAAATATTTTGGATGTATGGTGTAGAATGATTTTCTTTATAATTTCTTATTATTGTTTGTTGTTTCTTATTAAGCACAAAGCTACACGAGGGCTATCTGTGTTAGCTGTCCCTAATTTAGCAGTCTAAGACTAGAGGGAAGGCAACTAGTCATCACCACCCACCACCAACTCTTGGGCTACTCTTTTACCAACAAATAGTGGGATTGATTGTCACATTATAACGCCCCCACGGCTGAAAGGGCAAACATGTTTGGTGTGAAGGGGATTCGAACTCGTGACCTGCAGATTGCGAGTCGAGTGCCCTAACCACCTGGCTATGCCGAGCCCACCTGGTGAGAGAATGTAAATTTAAGATTATGAGTTACCTGACAACAATGTCTGCTGAAAGAACATTAAAAGCAACAGAAGACAATAACAGAACTTGGATAACATTATAACTTGTAATATTGTTACGACAGTGGAAGTCGCGTGACGCTGGGAGCATGCGCGCTGGAGTTTCTGGAAGGATCATGAATAATCGGGGAGGCCCGAGTTTGTTCGAGGCGCTCTCTTTTTTAGTATATAAGCCTGGCGAGAAAAACCAGCGCGATTGCATAGATAGATAGATATAGAGATAGATAATTGACTCAAGCGAATACTAGGCGCCGTAAGTAAATTGTATGAATCACTGTGATCTATATAGCGTGTGTTATAAAAGAAGTTAAGTTTAAAGTGACTGTGGAAATTTTGTGTATTACTAAAAAGTTGTATCAAGAAAGAATAAACTAGTTTTAATTAAGAAAGGAAGTTATCGTTGAAGTTCCTCGGATAGAAAAGTAAAAAAAGAAGAAGATGTAAACGAGAAGTGGAAAATCAAACTATAGCTTAGCAGATTTGATGGCAGCAATACAAGAACAGCAAAAGAAACAAGAAGAACGAGAAAATAAACAAAAAAGAAACAAGAAGAACGAGAAAAGAAACAAGAAGAGAGATTACAGCAGTTGTTGGAGGAAAAAGAAAAGAAACAAGAAAAGAGACAACAGCAGTGGCAAGAAAACCTGCAACAGTGG